TGTGTGTGTGTGTGTGTGTGTGTGTGTGTGTGTGTGTGTGTGTGTGTATGCGGGTGTATGCACACACTTGTAATTCTGAGTCTCACTTGACAGACTGAGACAGGAGGACTGACTGTGAGGTTAGTCTGGGCCACATAGTGAGTTCAAGGCTACACAGCAAACCCTGTCTCAAACAAACAGAACAACAGCAAAAAACCCGAGAGGGCCAGCCCAGGCTTATCTGCGTAACAAATTCCAGGCCAGCCTGAGACTACTTTGTCTCAGAAACAAACCAGCAAGGAGCAGGCTCTAGGAAGGGTTTGGAGGGTGTTAATAGGAAGAAATGGTGGGCAACCGGGAGGATGAAGATGGGGGTACAGTCCCAGAGAGGACACGTGGAGGAGAGGGTGGCTCTTTAGAGGAGATCCTCTCCTGTCCAGTCTGTTCAGTGACAGATTTTTAGCTCCACGGAGCTGATGGAGATGAGGCAGTGAACAAGCCATAGGGGACTGTGCCTTTCTTTAAAGGCCACTGTATGCTTTTCGTCCTCCCAGGAGTGGTTTTGGCCAGCATCTCATCAGGTCTAGGAGAGGTCACCTTCCTCTCACTCACAGCCTTCTACCCCAGGTAAGCAGCCTGGGCAGGAAGGATGGGGAGAGGTGTGCCCCCTGCTGGCTTCCATCTTCCTAAATGCTCCTATGCTCTCCTCAGTGCCGTGATCTCCTGGTGGTCCTCGGGGACTGGGGGTGCAGGGCTCCTTGGATCACTGTCTTACCTGGGACTCACCCAGGCAGGCCTCTCCCCACAGCACACCTTGCTGTCTATGTTGGGGATCCCTGTTCTGCTGCTAGGCAGGTGAGTGTCCTTGGGCCCACTGGAGGAAAGATGGGAGGAGGAGCATGACTGGGAGACAATCTTCAGGTCTCTTCAGTTGTGTGTTAGCTATGCAGTTCTGGTCAGAGTCGCTGCTGATGCTCAGGTGTCTCTGTCTGACAGCAGTTCTCCTTTTTGTCAGCTGATGGATACGAAGCGTCAGCACAGGAGGTCCCCTAGCTGGGGACCATGGCTAGGATTGAGTACACTTCAGTGTATTTGCTCTGTGTGTATTTGTGTGTCTTAGAAAGAATCATTAAGTGCACATCTTTAATCCCAGCACCCAGGAGGCAGAGGCAAGCGGACCATGTTATAGCTTAGGGCCGTTGAGAGGTGCCCCAGAGAGGACTGCTCAGAGATGGGTGTAAGCCAATAGAAAGTCTTAATTAGCTGGCTTGCACCTGCGGTATGTGTTTGGTATCCCAAGAAGCCCCGAGCCTTTCTCAGGGTGAGCTTTTAAGTACAGAAACCATGGCCTGGGTTGACATACTTCAGTTAACAAGAACAGTTAGCCAGAAGTGGAACTACAGAAGCCAAAAAGTAAGGTTAGCACATTTTGAGAATTTCCCCGGAACAATGGACTTTGATGGATTAGGCCTTTGTTTTAGTTTTGGCAGGTGGTGCTGTCTACTTGCTGAGTTTTATAGTCTGAATGTCACTTCCATCATGAAGTCAATCATGCTAATGTCTGTGGCCTGGACAGGGCCATATAGAAAAAAAATGGGTCAGGACCAGTGTGTTGCTGAATACCGGTAATCCTGGCACTTGGGAGACCAAAGCAGAGGGGTCACATTTGAAGCCTGCCTAGGATACATTTAGAGCCCCTGGCTCAAAAGATAGATGAGATAATTGGATATAAAGGCAAATGGCTTTAATCCAAGCACTCAGGAAGCAGAGGCAGGAGGATCTCTATGAGGTTGAGGCCAACTTGGCATAAATGTTAAGCTGCAGGGCAGCCAGAGCCACATAGTGAGACCCTGTCTCAAAAAACAAAACAAAACAAAACAAAAAACTAAAGAAATAAAGCCCATGATCATGCAGACCCTCACTGAGTCACAAAACAAAAAGACAGGAACATGAGAAAGGGCCCTGTGAGGTGGGGGAGCTCACAGGAGTGGGAAGGAGACGAGAGGCGAAGGGTGAGGGTAACCAGAATGCCGTGTATACGTGGATAAACCCGTCAAGGAGCACATTCAGCTGCACGCGGTGAATATATTAAAAGTTATACTAGCGCAATTGTTGGATGAGAACAACGAAACAGAATCGAGCTGCTGGCGTGGCCAAGCCAAATGAGGTTTCTGGGCGGAAACAAAGAGTCAAAGTTGGGCTCCAGAGGATGCATATGTCGGCCTTTGAAGCTTTCACAGCACAGGAGTGGGTGCCTGAGAGGCTGGAAATTCCCATCCTTAGAAACATCCAAATGTGAAGGGGCCCCTGGAAAGGCATGGCGTTCAGGATCTCGTGGGCCTTTATCCAAACAATAACTGACTGTTGTTTTCTGTTCCAGCTATTTCTTGTTGCTCACATCTCCTGAACCCCAGGACCCTGGAGGGATAGATGAGGCAGAGACCGCTGCCCGGCAGCCTCTCATCGGCACTGAGACCCCACAGTCAAAGTCAGGTAGGAGACAAAGGCCCTCCCAGGGCCACTTTCCCTTAGAGGTTTTGGTCCCAACAGTGGACACAGTTGAGAGGAACAGGCTTCTGAGCGTACATGTTTGGGTCAAAGCAGTCGTGTATACTTACTAAATGCCGATTGCATGCCAGACATTCTGATTGCTGGAAAACAGTGGTGCTCAAGGTGAAGAAACGAAAATATTTTCACAGGACATAAAACAGTGAGAGGGCCCGGAGTGGTGGCACACGCCTTTGGTCCCAACACTTAGGGGGCAGCTGAAAGCAGATCTCCATGGGTCTGGAAAGATGGCTCAGTGGTTAAGAGCACTGGCTGCTGTTGCAGAGGACTTGTTCGATTCCTGGCACTCACATGGCAGCTCACAACTGTCTGTAACTCCTGCTCCATTCACACATGCAGGCAAAATACCAGTGCGAATTAAAAAAAAAGAAAAAAAAAAGAATAAAAACAGCCGGGTGTGGAGTTGCATGCCTATAATTCTAGCACTCCAGGGGACACAGGCAGGCAGATTGCTCTGAGTTTGAAGCCAGCCTGGTCTACAAAGTCTAGGACAGCCAAGGCTACACAGAGAAACCATGTCTCAAAAAATAAATAAATAAAATAAATAAAATAGACAAGTAAATAAGGAAGAAAGGAAAACACACACTCTCTCAAAAGGAAAAAGAAATAGAAAAAAAAAAAAAAAAACAGAAAGTGACAGTTAAGGAGACCAAGGACATTAAGGGTTCTGCTTTACAGAACGTTCTGAGTGGCATTCTTTTTTTTTTTTTTTTTTTTTCTCTTTAAGTTTTTGTTTGTTTGGTTGGTTGGTTTTTGGAGACAGGGTTTCTCTGTGTAGTCTTGACTGCCCGGGACTCACTTTATAGACCAGGCTGGGCTCGAACTCACAAAGATCTGCCTGCTTCTGCCTCCCTGAGTGCTGGGGGTTACGGGAGAGTGGTGCCAAGCTCGCTGATTGTTTTTAAACAGTCTCTCTGTGTAGCCCTGACTGGCCTGGGACTCACTATGTAGACCAGAATGGCCTCAGACTAACAGAGACCCTCCTGCCTCTGCTTCCCAAGTGCTAGCAGTAGAGGCAACACCTGGCTAAGATTTATTTCTGTAGTTAGTCATGTATATGTGTTTTGGTGACTTTTTACCCTGGATGTGTTGAGTGCCCCCAGAGACCAGAAGAGGGCATCAGATCCCCTGGAGCTGCAGTGAGCCAACTGAAGTCCGTGCTGGGATTCAAATTCTGATCCTCACAACTGAGCAGCAAGTGCTCTCTTTTTATTCTTGTTTATCTGTTTTGTGTTTTGAGACAGGGTTTCTCTGTGTAGCCCTGGCTGTCCTGGAACTCACTCTGAAGACCAGAAATCAAAGATTCTCCTGCCTCTGCCTCCCGAGTGCTAGGATTGAAGGTATGCACCACCACTGCCTGGCCAGCAGCAAGAGGTCTTCACCCTCCAAGCCATCCCTCCAACTCTGAGAAGGGCTTCGCTTATTTATTTAATTCTTTAATGATTTCTTTATTTTTATTTTATGTGCGTTGGTGTTTTGCCTGCGTGTATGTCTGGGTGAGGGTGTTGGAGCCCCTGGAACTGGAGTTACAGACAGTTGTGAGCTGCTATGTAGGTGCTGGGAATTGAGGACCTCTGGAAAAGCAGCCAGTGCTCTTAACCGCTGAGCCGTCTCTCCAGCCCCCAAGAGAGCCATTAACAACAACAAACCGTTTATTTACTGGGAATCAGGCTGCCTGGGGGAAGGGTATGAGCACGAATGTGCAGGTCAGAAGTTCTGGGGATTGAACCCCATTCATTCAGACTTGGCAGCAAGTGCCCGCATCCATTGAGCCATCTTAGCAGCTCAAGAAGGCCTCTTGAAGGATACCTTTGGGCCGAAACTTGGCTGTCAAGGAATCAGCCTTGTGAATGTCTAAGTGATTATGTTCTAGACACAGGAAACAGCTAAGGCTGAGGCCTTGTGTTAGAAAAAAGAGCCTGGCTATTTCAGAGACAGAAAGCACTGCCAGAAAGTCTAGGATGGAATAAGCAGATAAAAGCTGTGCACTGATCTACAATCATCTCTCTTTTTCTTTTCTGATCAGTTAAATATATGTGTATGCATGAGCGTATGCATACATACATAGCATGAAGTTTACCACTTTAGCACCTACTGAAATGTAAGTGTGCAAGCCAGAGGTTTTTAAATTGGCACACACTGCTGTGATAGTCCATTGCTTGCTGCCTGTTGGTGCCTGCCTAGGTCCTCAGTGTGCAACTTCCTCCCCTTCTTTCCCTGCTCTGCAGGTTCCAGCTGGGACCTCTCCCTCCAGGAAAGGTGGACAGTGTTCAAGGTTCGGATGGTGGCTGAGGGTACCCTGGGAGGATCCTCTGCCGCCTGCCTTCCGCTTAACATCTTCCAACTCTTCCAGGGCCTCTTGCGATACATCATCCCCCTGGTGCTAGTCTACTTTGCGGAATATTTTATCAACCAGGGGCTTGTGAGTGAAGGATGCTGGGAAGGGGGTGTGGGAGGAGGAGGAGGAGGAGGATTGAGGTTCCACAAATCTCCGCTTGTCTGGTCTCTGCCATAGTTTGAACTCCTGTTTTTCCGGAACACATCCCTAAGTCACGCGCAGCAGTACCGATGGTGAGAGAAGTTGGCAGGCGGGCAGTGGGCTGGGAGGATCCCTTGGAGGTTGGGCAGCTGGGGTTGGCCCCATAGGCGCCCAGAGGAGCTTCCTCCTCCTCCCTGCTCCCACCCCAGGTACCAGATGCTGTACCAGGCCGGCGTGTTCGCCTCCCGCTCTTCTCTCCAGTGCTGTCGAATCCGCTTCACCTGGGTCCTGGCCCTGCTGCAGGTACTAAGCTCCCACCGCGTCTCCCAGCATGCCTTACCCGGCACAAGTTGTTAGTGCGCTGCAGCATTCCTGAGTACGGCTCTGAAGCCCAGCAGGGCTCCTATACGATGAGTGATGGCATCAGGAGCCAGCCATACCTGTGGGCAAATAGCAGTTTCTGTTCCGAATGGCTGTGTGGCTCCGAGCAGGTCTCTGAACCTCTAATGAGCCCCAGATGTGGAGGGGCAGGATGTGTACCTCAGTGGCAGAGGGTTTGCCTAGCCCGTATGAGGCCGTGGTTCCATCTCTAGTACTGCAAAAATTAAAATAGGAAATAGATACGGGACAACACCTATTTCTCGGGTGTTTATACAACAACATTGAGGGGAAAAAATGGAAGATACTGTTTTTGATTTATCTTGGCTTTGTTGTTTTATTTATTTATTTATTTTTAGTGGTTGTTTGTTTGGTTTGGTTTGGTTTGATTTTTTTTTTTTTTTGAGACAGGGTTTCTCTATGAACCCGTGGCTGTCCTGGACTCAATTTGTAGCAGGCAGACTCACAGAGATTCTCTGCCTCTGCCTCCCTGAGCGCTGGGATTCCAGGCGTGCACCGCCACACCTGGCTTGTTTTGTTTGTTTTTAAGGCAGGCTCCCACTGTGTAGCCCTGGCCTGTAGCTCACAGCTCTGCCTCAGGAATGCAGTCATTAAAGGCATGTGCTTCCTGCTTCCATGCCTGGCCTTCTGTTGTCTGTTTTGTTGTCACGGTGATTACACCCAGGGCCTTGTACAAACTAGGTCAGTGCTGCTACTGAGCTACATGCTACATCTTAAGCCCTCATACTTTTATTATTTATTTTTACAACTTAAAAAATTATAATTAGATTTGTATTTATTTATTGGGAGGAGGGAGACACTTACCAAGTAGTGTGCATGGAGGTCAGAGGGCAACTTGCAGGATTGGTTCTCTTCTCCCACATGTGGGTTGTAGGGATCAAACTCAGGTCATCGGGTTTGGAAGCAAGTGCCTGTACCCACTGAGCCATCTCATCAGCACAAACCTTTTATTTGGAGGCAAAGCCTTACTTAATAAGCCTGGCCTTGAACCTCGCTCTGAAGCTACATAAACCTGGATGTTTGATCCTCCTGTCTCAGCCTCAGTAGCTGGGATGATAGGCCATGTGCCCCCAGGCCCTACCCTAGCCCTTGATTTATTTGTTTTTAATAATAGTATGTGTGCATTTTTTAAGTCTGATGTGTGGTGTGTGTGTGTGTGTGTGTGTACACAAGGGTGTGCATAGACTGTCATGAATGTGGAAGCCAGGGAAGACCTTTCACGGGTCGGTTCTCTCCTTCTACCGGGCTTGGGGGCTCACACTCAGGCTGTTAGGCTTGCACAGCAAATGTCTTTACCAGCTGAGCCATCTTGCCACACACACACCCCTCCTCTTTGTTTGTTTTGAGTTTTTACAAGTCTGGCTGTTTTCCTGCAGGTATGTCCATGTACCACACGCAGACAGTGTCTGCCAAAGTCAGAAGAGGACATGGGATCCTCTGGAACTAGAGTTACAGATTGTAACTATTGTTACAGATTGTAAAGTGCCATGTGGGTGCTGAGAATCGAACCAACCCAGGTCCTTTGGGAAAGCAGCCAGTGCTCTTAACCACTGAGCCATCGCCCCAAGCTCCTTTTTTTTTTTTTGAGATAGGGTTTCTCTGTGTAGCCCTGGCTGTCCTGGACTTTGTAGACCAGGCTGGCCTCGAATTTGCAGAGATCCACCTGCCTCTGGCCCCGCCTCACTGAGTGCTGGGATCACAGGTGTGCACCACCACGCCTGGCTTCATCTCTTGTTTTTTAAGGCAGGTGTCATTGTGTTGCCCAGGCTGGTTTTGAACTTGATGATCCTCCTGCATCTATTTCCAGAGTGCTAGGATTTCAGGTATAGGCCCCCGTGCTTGGCTTGCACCACAGTTTAATCAGTCTAAATGTGTTTCATGATTATTTGCCAACATTTTATGCAAAGAGACATACCTGCAAATCAAGCAGATGAATACTGTTTATACCTATTTAAAAAAAAAACAAAACCATGTTTCTTTCATATTAGATAACTTAGAATCAGTGGCATTTCAGTCACGTGAGTGGCTTTTGTTGTGGTTGCTTGGTTTTTCGAGACAGGGTTTCACAGAGCCCTGGCTGCCCTCGATCTCACAGAGATCCACCTGGCTCTGCTTGGATTAAAGGTGTGTGCCACCACGCTTGGCTTGAATGAGTGTTTTTTTTTATCAGTTAATAATTGTAGGGAGCAAATTCAGATGCCCTTGGCAAAGAGCGGCCCATGGTTCTTAGCAAATAGGGCTCTCTGTAGTAGTTTCACAAGAGGGCCTCACACACCAGCATCCATCTAGAGGTGCACAACCCTAACAGGACTTTTAAACCTCTGACTGCAGGTTGAGCAGCCCTAGTGTAACCCAGAATGCAAAATGTATCAGCTTGTATGACACCACAAGCTCGAAATCCAACATCATAAAACTTTGTTTCCTGAGAAAATTTACTACAAATACTGTAGTAATTACCTCAGGTCACATATATGGAGTATATGTGAAAAATGAGTTTCACTTTTAGACTTTGGCTCCTATCCCCAAGATCTATCTTATGTATGTGCAAATTCTTCAGATATCGAAAACAACTAAAATCTGAAACACTTCTGTTCCCAAGTGTTAGGGGATTCATTCCCTGTAATACAGGGAAGTACTTCATTTACCCTTACCGCTGAGGCATGCAGTTCCCGGGGCTGAGGAGACGGCTCAGTGGGAGAAGGTGCCTGCCACCAAGCCTGACCACAGAGTTTGGTCCTGAATACACAGGGTGGAAGGAGAAAAGTGACCCCAGAAGTTGCTCTCTGCCTCCACACAAATGCCATGTGCCATGCACTTGAAAATATGTGTAATTACAAAAAATTTTTATAAACTTAGTTGATGGGCCAGGAAGATGGTTTAGCAGATAAGGGAACCTTTTGCCACCAACCTGAGCGTAATCCCATGTTCCCACATGGTGCAAGGAGAGAATCGGCTACGTGAAGAAAGTCCTTTGACCTCTACACACTTATTCATTGTACACACAATGTACTCTCAAACTGGGGTTTCTCAACTTCGGAACTCTTTATTTTCTGTACTTTTTGAGACCGAATCTCTCTCTATATCCTTGACTGGCCTCAAACTCAGAGATGCTGGCCTGCTTCTGCCTCTGGAGTGCTAGGATTAGTGGCGTGCCCCACCGTTCCTGGCCCTCTATTTTTTTTTTTTTTAATAAATGTTTGCCTACATGCATATACGTGAACCGCCCATGGAGACCAGAAAGGGTGTCATCCTCTGTAACTGGGAGTACAGAGAGTTGTGAGCCACCATATGGGTGCTGTGTGAGAACAGCAAATGCTGTTAACCGCTGAGCCAACTTTTCAAGCCAAAATTTTGTCCTCTTGACATTTGCAGCTGGATAGTTCTGTTGTGTTGTTTGTGTGCTGTGGGTGCTTAGCAGTATTCTTTGCCAGATGCCGATGAGGGTTAGACCTGCAATGGATGTGTTTGGTGGGGGTGTCTAGGTATGATGGTTCCTGCCAATAAAAAAGAAACAGAAAACAAGGAAATGAGATGATGGACGATGGCAGTGGGAATGACCCTGATCCAAGTTGAGAGGTCACCATCGAGGGTAGGTTGAGGAACAAAGGGAGGAGAGGAATCTACAAGGTACGTGAGGATGAGGATGGGGACAGGAAAGGCCCACCAAGATCTCAGGGTCTCGCAGGCCCACGTGGGCATCGGATCCTTACCCAGGCCTCTTGGCCCTCTGCCTCACCAGTATCTCTCATAACTAGGCAGCCCGGAGATATGCTCCTCCCTGCTGTGCTGTTGCGCAGTCTCGAGCCCCCCCCCCTTCCTCTGCCCACAGTGCCTCAACCTGGCCTTCCTGCTGGCAGATGTGTGTTTGAGCTTCCTGCCCAGCATCTACCTCATCTTCGTCCTCATTGTATATGAAGGGCTCCTGGGCGGGGCTGCCTATGTGAACACCTTCCACAACATTGCTCTGGAGGTCTGTGTCAGATGGGCGGGGGCTGTGGGCGGCCTCAGGAGCCCTGTGGGTGGAAGCCTAACCCTTTTCTGCTCTCCCAGACCAGTGACAAGCACCGAGAGTTTGCCATGGAAGCTGCCTGTGTTTCTGACACCTTGGGAATCTCCATATCAGGGGTCCTGGCCTTGCCACTTCATGACTTCCTCTGCCATCTCCCTTGACGTGGGTTGCTCCTCACACCCTGACCTGCCCATGAGCAGGTGGCACATCTGCGAGCTCTGCCACAGGCCTTCCCTGCCAGGCTAGGGAGTGGGCAGAGCCACGGTCCTGCCCCGCCTCACAAGGAGCCCCCATTGTTTCCCACCCCCGAGCTGGTCTCGGGGAGTTTTCTCCCAGCCTTTAGCCCTTCTAATAAATGCTTATTTTATCGATTTACTTTTTGTGCAGTCTCTTTGAAACTGAAAAATTATGTAAACCCACTTTGGAATATATGAATTTATGAGTGTATAAAGCATTTCAGACCAGGTATTGTGGCATGTACCAGTCACTCCGGCACTTGGCAGAAGAGTCCATGTCTGACCTGGGATGTACAGCGAGACCTGGAGGACTAGGGCAATAGCTCAGTAGCAGAGCGCCTGCCTAGGATGTTCAGGGCTCTCGGGTTTTTGTTTGTTTGGTTGGTTGGTTTTGGTTTTTTGAGACAGGGTTTCTCTGTGTAACTTTGGCTGTCCTGGAACTCTCTCTGAAGACCAACCAGGCTGGCCTCAGACTCACAGAGGTCCACCTGCCTCCGCCTCCTGAGTGCTGGGATGACAGATGTGCGCCACCGCTTCCAGCTAGGGCTGTCAGTTTTATGCCTAGAAAACAATCAGTTAAAAAGCAGGGTGTGCTGCTGTAAGCCTGTAATCCCAGCATTTGGGATTTTGAAAATGTTAGGTCTGGGAATCGCTGAAAGAAGACCTCAGACTCAGGTAGTCTGCAAAAGCAAGGAGTGTGTATTCTGCAGAAATTGCCAGCACGCTGGGGCCACCATTCCATAGACTGGCCACCTTGAGGCGAGCACCCAGGCTCAATTTGAAGACGGGAATTTCCCAAGTGTGATTAGGTAATCTTTTCATCGATTGGTTGGTGCTGATCTAGTTGATGGGGTGGGGTGGGGGGACAGCCTTCATGGAGTGTCCAGTTAACAGCATGTGCGCAGATAACAGTATCATTTTGACTAGCTAAACAAAGTGTTTCTGACTAACCTTTCATTGGTCAGGTGCTTGGAGACCTTTCAAGGTGGTTACTAAATTAGTTTCTCATTTTCAGGGAGGTTATTGAGTTATTTTATCTCGTTTCCATGAGCTATAGTTTCATGTTCTAAGAAATAGAAACATGATCTGAGCAACTGTGGGAACATCACCAGGAAACAGAAACTCAGGCCTGTAGTAGCTTATGAAGCCTGTCATGGCAGCACAGCTGCTTGGGCCCTTCAAAAATAATTCTATTGCCTATTTGTAGCTTTATTAAAAATCAGGTGCCCATAGTGTGTGGATTTATGTGTGGGCCTTGAAGCTGATTCCATTGGTCAACATGGAGTTTTATGGTGATACCACGTAGGTTCTAGGATGGTAGCTCTGTAGTACAGCTTGAAGTCAGGGATGGTGATACCTCTGGAGGTTTCTTTTTTGTACAAGATTGTTTTAGCTATCCTGAGGTTTTGTTTTTTTTTTTTTTTTCTTCCGTATGAAGTTAAGTATTGTACTTTCAAGGTAAAGAATTGTGTTGGAATTTTGATGGGGATTGCATCGAATCTGTAGATTGATTTTAGTAAAATGGCCATTTTTACTGTTAATCAACCAATCCATGAGCATGGGAAATCTTTCCATCTTCTGATATCCTCTTCAGTTTCTTTCTTCAGTGTCTTAAAGTTTTTATCATACAAGTCTTTTAGTTGCTTGGTTAGATTTACCCCAAGATATTCATAGACAAGAAAGTGGGGAATAGCCTTGCATGCATTATCACGGGAGACAACTTCCTGAATAGAACACCAATAGTGCGGGCACTAAGATTGACAGTTAGTAAATGGGACTCATGAAACTGAAAAGCTTCTGTAAGGCAAAGGATACCATCAATAGGACAAAATGGCAGCCTACAGAATGGGAGAAGATTTTTACTGACTCCACCTCAGACAGAGGGCTAATATCCAAAATATATAAAGAACTCAAAAAACTAAACATCAACAAACCATATAACCCAATTAAAAAATGAGGTACATGGCTGGAGAGATGGTTCAGAGGTTAGAACTGGCTGCTCTTCCAGAGGTCCTGAGTTCAATTCCCAGCAACTACATGGTGGCTTATAGCCATCTATAATGAGATCTGGTTCCCTCTTCTGGCCTGCAGGCATACAGGCAGGCAGAACACTGTATACATAATAAATAAATAAATCTTAAATAAAATAATTTTTTAAAAAATGGGGTTCAGATCTAAACAAAATTCTTAACAGAGGAATCTCAAGTGACTAACACTTAAATATTCAACATCTTTTTAAAAAAAAGATTTATTTATTTTTATTATGTTTACAATGTTCTGCCTGCATGTACACCTGAACACCAGAAGAGGGCACCAGATTTCATTATAGATGGTTGTGAGCCAACATGTGGTTGCTGGGATTTGAACTCAGGACCTCTGGAAGAGCAAGCAGTGCCCTTTACCTCTGAGCCATCTCTCCAGCCCCAATATTCAACATCTTTATCCATCAAGGAAATGCAAATCAAAATGACTCTGAGATTCTATCTTATGCCCATCAGAATGGCTAAGATCAAAAACACAAATGGCAGCTCGTGCTGGCAGGGATGTGGAGAAAGGGGAGCACTCCTCCATCACTGGTAGGAGTGCAAACTTGCACAGCTACTTTGGAACTCAATAGAGTGGATTTTCTAAAAACTGAGACTCAGTCTACCTCAAGACCCAGCTCTACCAATCCTGGCTATATATACCTAAAGGATGCTCTATCCTACCACAAGGACACTTGTTCAGCTATGTTCGTAGCAACTTTATTTGTAATAACCTGAAGCTGGAAACAACCTAGATGGCCTTCAACCAAAGAATGCATAAAGAAAAAGTGGTACATTTACACAATGGAGCATTTATTACTCAGCTATTAAAAAATAATACCATGAAATTTACAGGCAAATGGATGGAACTAGAAAAAGATCGTCCTGAGTGAGGTAATCCAGACCCTGAAAGACAGACAAGGTGTGTAATCAGTTATAAGTGGATATTAGCTTTTCTTTTTAGCTTTTCCTATATTTGTTTTTTAATTGTGTTTTTTATTAATTATTCACTTTGTATCCCAGCTGTAGCCCCCTCCTTTGTTCCTTCCCAATCCCATCCTCCCTCCCTCATCTCCTCCCATGCCCCTCCCCAAGTCCACTGATAGGGGAGGCCTCCTCCCCTTCCCTCTGACCCTAGCCTATCTGGTCTCATCAGGACTGTGCATTGTCTTCCTCTGTGCCTGGTAAGGCTGCTCCCCACTCAGGGAGGTGATCAAAGAGCCAGCCACTGAGTTCATGTGAGAGGCAGTCAGATATTAGCTTTAAAGTAGAGGATAATCACGCTACAATCCACAGACCCAGAGAGGCTAAGGAACAAGGAGGGCTCAAGAGGAGATACATGGGTGTTCCTGAGGAGGGGAAATGGATGTCGAAGGTGGACTGGGAGCAGGTGGACGTGGAAACAGGAGGGAAAGAGAGTCCTGGGAGAGAGTACTGTATTTGGGGGCATTTCAGGAGTGAGGTGGAAAAACCTAGTGCAATGGAAATTCCCAGAAATCCACAAGGGTGGCCCTACCAAAGATTCCAGGTGATGGGGGATACATAGCTTGAACTGGCCATCTTCTACAACCAGGCAAGTGGAGGGAATGGAACACCAACCCAGTCACAAAACCTACCATCTGTCCTGCCTGAGAGGTGTGCTGGGGTAAAGATGGCACAGAACTCGTGAGAGAGGTCAACCACACGGGGGAGCCCATGCCTGCCACTGCCTGACACAGGGCCAGGAACCAGAAGAGGCTGGGAAGCCCAGAGACTAGGAGAGAGCCAAACACGACCAGAAGGAAGAGGAGGAGAGGAAAGAAAGAAAAGTCAATGAAATGATTCCTAATGATAGTCTGCTATACTTGTAGACTGGAGCCTAGCAGAATCATGATCAGAGAGGCTTCATCCTGTAACTGATGGGAGCAGATGCACAGAGCCACAGCCAAACACTAGGCGGAGCTCAGGGAATCCTGCGGGGGTTGGGGGAGGATTGTATCAAGCAGAGGAGACTAGGACACTACAAGAAAAACCACAGAATCAACTAACCTGAGCTCACGGAAACTGAACCGACAACCAGGGAGCCTGTACGGGTCTGACCTGGATCCTCTGCATATAGGTTACAGTTGTGTACCTTGGTGTTCTTGTGGGACTCCTTAACAGTGGAAGCCGAGGCTGTCTCTGACTCTCTTGCCTGTTTTTGGGACCCTTTCCCTCTTACTGGGCTGCCTCATCCAGTTTTACTATGAGGGAGGTACCTGGTCCTCTTGCAACTTGACATGCCATGTTTGGTTGATGTCCTTGGGAGGCCTGCCTTCTCCTGAAGGGAAATGAAGTAGAAGTGGATCTGGGGAAGAGGGGATGGGGGGAGGACTGGGGGGAGAGGAGGGAGGGGATGTAATATATGAAAGGATATTTTTTTTAAAAAAGAGGACCAGCTTGTCTAAAGAGAAAAGGAAGAAAAAAAAAAAGTAAAAGCTAGATGAGCATTTAATTGGACCCAGAAGTACTCCTATAGCCATCTATAGGGAAGTTGAGACAGAAGACCTGGTTGATCCCAACATCTTGAGACCAATCAGGGCAGCATAGCAAGACCCAGTGTCAAAAATAATGTAGAGGTCAAGAATTTGAAGATGAGCAAGAATGGGTACATGGGAAGGAATGGAAGGGGGGAAATGTGTAATTATTTTTTAATTAAAAAAAGCTTTCAGCAAGGCACAGTGGTGCAGGCCTTTAATCCAAGCACCCAGAAAGCAAAGGCAGGTGGATCTACCTGTGAGTTTGAGGCCAGTCTGGTCTATAAAACAAGTCCAGGACAGAACTACACAGAGAAACGCTGTCTTGAAACAAAAACATAAAAATGATGATAATGATACCATTTGGGTGCTCCTGAAACTATCCTGTCACCATGAATTGTGTCTGTGGCCCTGCTTGACAACGCTGGTACATGCTGCTCAGCTGTGAGCGAAGGCAAAGGGGCCTGATGTTGAGCTCCCAGCTCTGCCATTCACCGATAATACGAGCTTGAGAAGTCACCCTACCTCTCTGCACTCCAGTTTCTGATGTTTCAAATGAGAGCAGCAGTGTTAACAACTGTGAGCTCATGGGAAAACATCTTCCTCACCTAGGGAATGCCACCCTGATGGTGTGACTCATACCCTGCCTCTGAGCTTTTATATTGAGTTACGCAGCGAGCCCCAGGCATTGGCATGCTCCCAACTTGTTAAAATTCACACCTGTAATCACAACACTCTCAGGACTTGGGAGGCTGAGACAGGAGGAGCAGCCTGGGCTACATGCCAACATCCTGCCTCAAACAAAAAGCTGTAAAAACTTCACACACAAGCTGGTCACGGTGGTGCACACCTGTAATCCCAGCATTCAGGGAGGCAGAGGCAGGTGGATCTCTGAGTTCGAGGCCAGCCTGGTCTACAAAGCAAGTCCAGGACATACAAGGGTACACAGAAAAACCCTGTCTCCAAAAACCAAAACAAAACAAAAAACCAAAAAACCTCACACACTCCCTGCCATGTCCCCTGTCCCTGCTTTCTGGGCTCATCCCAAATCAGTAATTGCAGTGATGTAGGGACCAAGAATACACATTTCCATCCTCCTTTGGTAAAGTTTTGGTTTGGTTTTTAACAACTTAGGAAGCTGAGAAGGGAATGAGGAAAGTTTGTAAGCACACGTGTACATACAAAGCCAGTATTGCTGGAAGCACACTTGAAGAATTACTGAATTATGGTTTTCCTTTTTAAAAAGATTTACTTACTTATGTCTTTTTGAGACAGGGTTTTTCTGTGTAGACCTAGCTGTCCTGAAACTTGTTCTGTAGACCAGGCTGGCCTTGCACTCAGAAATCTACTTGCCTCTGCCTCCTGAGTGCTGCCACCACCACTTTAAAGTGCTTTAAAACAATTATGTGTTTGATGTGTACATGTCCAAGCGTATGGGTATCCTCTGTCTGCAGTGCATGTAGAAACCGGAAGAGGGCGTTGAAGCCCCTGGAACTGAAGTTACAGGCAGTTGTAAACCACCCTATGTTAGTTCTGGGAACTGAACTTGAATTTTCTGAAAGAGGAGCAGGTGCTCTTGACAGATGAACCATTTCTCTAGCCCTATGCTTTCCCTTAAAAATAAATAAATAAATAAATAGATAGATAGATGATAGATAGATAGATAGATAGATAGATAGATAGATAGATAGATAGATAGATAAAGCAAACTTTAGGTATGCTATTTCCCTTTTTATGTCCACAAAGTATTATAGTGTCTTCAGGCCAAGAACTTTTAGGGAGTGGAAAAAAATTTCCTCCCCCACCTTTTTTTTTTTTAAGACAGAGTTTCTCTGTGTAGCCATGGCTTTCCTGTCATGGCTTGTAGACCAGGCTGGCCTCAAACTCATGGAGCTCCACCTCTGTCTGGGATCAAAGGCATGTGACACTATGCCGGGCTTTTTTGTTTGCTTGTTTTTGCTTTTTGAGACAGGGTTTCTCTGTGTAGCCTTGCCTGTCCCAGACTCCCTTTGTAGACCAGGCTGCCCTCGAGCTCAGAGAGATCCATCTGCCTCTGCCTCCCGAATGCCGGGATTACTGGCATGCACCATTGTGCCCAGCTCCTCCTGCCCCCTCTTTTTAAGGATCTCACTCAATATCCCATGTTGGCCTTAACTTGTGATCCTCCCACTCGGATTCCCAAGTGCTGGGCTAACAGGAATGAGATACATACCTGGCATTATATTTCACTTTGATGAGTGTCTATGATTCTACATAATGAAACTTCTTTTTCCCCTTTATTCTTTCACTATTAGGACTTGAACTAGGACCTCATGGATGCTAGGTAAGTACTCTACTTCTGAGCTACATCCTTTTATCTATATATGGAGAGGGGTGGATTGCGCTACGTAGCTCAGGCTAACCTGGAACTCAATGTATAGACCAGGCTGGTTTCAAACTCCATCCACCTGCCTCTGCCTCTCGAATGCTGGGGCTAAAGGCATGCGTCACCATTTGAGAGACTTCCGTGATTAAACTACAGCACACATACAGTGGCTCATGTAAGATGCTAGAAGGGAATCCAGGAGTATAAAAGATTCAGAAAGTGGTGCCCTAGTTACAGGAAAGACAAACATCGCTGTTAGTTACATCTGAGATGTTAGTACATCTCGGTTGTGCTGCACCCCTGAGAAATCAACAAAAAGATCACATCAGATACATGAGAACCCTGTAAAAAAAAAAACAAAACAAAAAAAACAACCAACTTTGGAAAGAATGGAGAAGCAGCCGGGTGAGGTGCATACGCCTGTGATCCCGGCACTCTGGGAAGCAGAGGCAGGTGGAGCTCTGTGAGTTCAAGACCGGCCCGGTCTACAAAGTGAGTCTAGGACAGCCAAGGCTACACAGAGAAACCCTATTTCAAAGGGAAAAAAAGCTCTACTGAGATACACTTCACAGGCTATACAAATGCTTGTCAGTATAACCAAAGTGACTGTCTCCACCATCCGAGATCTGAGATCACCTTGATCACCTTCAGAAGAAATCCTGGCTAGACATGGAAGATCTCAGGTTTGAAGCCAGGTTGGGCTACATTAGACCTCAACTCAGAAAAAAATGTGGGGACCTAATGCAATGCTTTACCAGGCACATATGTGGTACATATAACATACATGCAGGCAAAAGTCATAATTAAGAACACAAAACAAACAAACAAAAACCATTTTTTTTCTTTAAAGTGTGCACATCTTTGATTCCACTACTTGGAAGGCAGAGGCAGACCCTCACTGAATTTGAGGGCAGCCTCAAATGCGTTCCAGCACAGTCAGGGCTACCCAGAGAGACCTCGTCTTGAAAACAAAAATGAACTGAAAAAAAAAAAATCCTAGACATGGTAGCATACACCTATATTGCCAAACCTTCAGGAGGCTGAATTGGGGCATCTCAAGTTCTGGGGATTCGTGAGGGAAAGGGGAAAGGAGAAAGGAAGAAAGCAAGGAAGGAAGACTGTTTATTTGTTGAGATAGGGTCTTAATACATACCCCGGGCTTCCCTGTAATGCTCAATCCTGCTCCAGTCTCCTGACTGCTAGGATTACAGCCTGTACTGCTCTGTCGGGCATTTTGTGACATTTATTTTCTATCATCTCTCTATCCTTTTCAAAGTCCTCAGAGGCTACGAGCTTGTTTTCAACACCTCATTCTTTTGATAGCTCATTATTATTTTACTGCAAGGCTGTGCAGCTTATACGCATCCATCTGTCAATTGATGGACATTCGGGTTTCAGTGAACAATAGCATGCCCAATGCTGTTATAAACATTTCTATTGGGTGAGGCCTTGAATTACTAAATCCTTTGCCGGTAGTGCATTCTTGACATATCCTTGCTATTCCATGTGTGTGTGCGCGTGCGTGTGGTTTGTTTGTTACAGCCATTCTAGTGAAAGTGGTGTCTCCCTCTGGTTCTCTTTTTTTTTGGGGGGGGGGTAAAAATTATTTATTTTTATTTTATGGGCATTGGTGTTTTGCCTGCACGTGTGTGTCAGATCTTGGAGTTACAGACAGTTGTGAGCTGCTATGTGGGTGCTGGGAACTGAACCAGGGTCCTCTGGAAGAGCAATCAGTGCTCTTAACCACTGACCCAGCTCTCCAGCCCTTTTTTTTTTTTGGTGGGGGGGAGAAGCTTGAGAAAGGGTTTACTCTGTGTAACAGCCCTGGCTATCCTGGGCTAGCTTTGTAGAACAGGCTGGCCTCGAACTCAAGAGATCTGCCTGCCTCTGTCCTCCCTCTGGTTTTCATTTACATTTCCTGCATAGGCTACTCTGGCCCCAGAGAACTGACTCAGGTTCACGTTTGGTGACAAACGCTTTTTCATCTGAACCATCTCGTGGGTCCCACGGCTAGTATACGCTCATTTTGCACAAGGCACTGTCCCACACGCTTCTTATTCTCCTAACATTAAATGAACACATACCATTATTTCCCTCTGTTTGTAGAACAGGGAGAAGAGCAGAGAGAAGTATGAAATTAGAAAAAAAAGTTGCCTAAGAAAACGGTAAAGCTAAGATTCCAACACTAAGATCCGGGAAGTTTGCTTAAACCTCCAGAACCGTGGTCACTTCCGCAGCACATATACTAAAGTTGGAACAATACAGGTAAGATTAGCACGACCCCTGTGCAAAGATGACACGCAAATTCATGAAGCGTTCCGCGTTTTTAAAACCCTTTTCGAAAACAAGCACTGCCACCACCTTCCAAAACCTAGCAGGCTACCAAACTTTTTTTTTTTTTTTTTTGGCTTTTCGAGAAAGGGTTTCTCTGTGTAGCCGTGGCTGTCCTGGAACTCACTCCGTAGACCAGGCTGGTCTAGAGACGAGAGATCTGCCTGCTTCTACCTGTGTCTGCCTAGTGCTGGGATTAAAGGCAAGCACCACCCCCGCCCGCCTTCACAGTATTTTTTAAAATCCAGTTTGGCCTCGAACCCACAACCGTCCTGCCTCAGCCTCCCTAGTTTGGAAATGACAGACGAGCACCGTAGGGCGGTCACCATCGGTCTTAAAGCCTCCGCCACGAACCAGGCCCAGGCCCCGGATGGCGCAGAGGACGCTGGGGGTTGTTATTTAGCGCTTTGCTCCGCGCTTCCGGGAAGTGACGCCTGACCCTGTCCTCTTCCGGCGACAGCTGCCTCGCCTGCTCCCAGGGCCTCCGGAGCTCAGCTGGTTGGTGTTCCCTGGGTCTCGTGCTCCGCGGAGGGCGAGGAGGGGGCGTCGGGCAGGGCCGGGGGTGGGGAGGCGGCGGCCGCGGCGCCCCCAGCCCTGACGCCGCGGTTTTCCTCAGGTCCCCGCCGCGCGCCCTAGCCCGTCGCCGGCGCCATGTCGCGGTTCTTCACCACCGGCTCGGACAGCGAGTCGGAATCGTCCCTGTCCGGGGAGGAGCTGGTCACCAAGCCCGTCTCTGGGAACTACGGCAAACAGTGAGCTGGGGGCGCGGGGAGGATGCTTTGGCGGGCTGCGGGGACTGTGGGCGAGGGCACCGAGGGCGACGGGGACGGGGATGGTGGCGCTGCCGGCGGGCTGCGGCCTCCGGGAGGCCTGGTCGTGGTGCCGAGGACCGGGGAGCAGAGGTTTCCCGCCGCCTGGTGTTGCGTCAGCCTCGAGGTCGGCGGCTTCGTGATTCCTCCTCGCGTCCCCTCCTTTGTCCCTCCCTGCCCGTCGCGTGGCCTTCGAATAACTCCCTCTATCGTGGCTCTTCCCAGCAGGCAGCGCTCAGTGACTGCTCTGTACTCGGGAAAGGAAACCCTCAAGGCTTGGCAGCTCTGAAGCTCTGTCGTTTGTCTTTGCGTGCAGTGTGAGACACTGCTGTGCTCACCTTCGTTTTACTGTCTTCTCCTCGTCTCTGAAAGTTAAAACGTATTAAATTATAGAACAGTTCTCAAAACTAACTTTGTTTTTGCTGTGTGCCTATAGTGTTTTAAGATATTTATATCTGCCTCCACAGAGACTTGAAGAGAACTGTGGATGGATATACATACATACATACATACATATCTATGTGAATGTCAGTCCGTAACACTGTCCAAAGTGAAAAATCATCACTTTTCATTAAAAAAAAAAACAAAAACAGGAAAAATTAACAGGATGGGAAGAAAAAAAATGGAGACACTGTTGCTAACTGAATGCTTGGGCCCATCTCATTAAAAAGAAATACAAGCAAAGTACTGTTAAAGTTTACTAAAACTTCTCTTTATCAGTGGCCTCTCCTATTTTGGGAACTGTTTCTTTTTAGAACCTTGCTCAGATACTGGTTCCCTGAAGTGCTTTCCATTTGTTAAGAATTTAAATATCTTTTCTCTCCTGCTGTGTGTGTGTTTACTTTTTTATTTATATATTTATTCACTTTACATTCTGATGGTAGAACTGTCCTCTCACTGTCCCCCTCTCCTATTCCTCAGATAAGGGGAGCTCCCCTACAATATAGGTTTTTTTCTGTAGCCATATGTGCCTTTGCGTAATTAGTTGTGCATACAGTAAATAAGCCTTTCAGTTGTATGTTCTTGGAGACACTCTTGCATGTGCTGTCAGGGTCTGACAAAAGGCCTTCTTCCGAGTTGGAGCTGTTTAAGATGAGTATGAGAAGCAAGTGTCAGAAAAAAGGATGGTACGGATGCCCAGTCTTAGTCTGAAAAGAGGCGTGATGACAGTTAAGAATGAAGGCTAATGGTCTCTGTTTCTTCCATACAGGCCTTTGTTATTGAGTGAGGATGAAGAGGATACAAAGAGAGTTGTCCGAAGTGCCAAGGACAAGAGGTGAGGCCACAAAAGGCTAGGTGATAGGGAATGATGACATTGATTTCTCCATGCTAGACACAGCCAATCTGTACTGAACTCCCTACCCAGGTTTGAGGAGCTGACCAACCTTATACGAACCATCCGTAATGCCATGAAGATTCGAGATGTCACCAAGTGTCTGGAAGAGTTTGAGCTCCTGGGAAAAGCATATGGGAAAGCCAAGAGTATTGTGGACAAGGAAGGTGTCCCCCGGTTCTATATCCGAATACTGGCTGACCTGGAGGACTATCTTAATGAGGTGTGACTAGAAGGGGGTGTGGGTCTGGCTATGCTTTCTCATAGCGAGGGCTCTCCTCCGGGTTCTTTCCCTTATGACATACAGTGTTCCCTAGAAAATGAAATGAAGGAGAGGAGCTTTTTTTTTTTTTTTTTTTTTTTGAGGCTTTGTTGTTTTTGGGTGTTTTGAGACAGGGTTTCTCTGTCTAGGCCTGGCTGACCAGGAATTCACTCTGTAGACCAGAAGAGCCTTGAATTCAGAGATCCACTTACCTCTGCTTCTAGAATGTTATGATTAAAGAGTACCCCACCACAGGGCTGGGGAGATGGCTCAGAGGTTAAGAGCACTGACTGCTCTTTCAGAGGTCCTGAGTTCAATTCCCAGCAACCATATGGTGGCTCACAACCATCTATAATGAATGAGATCTGGTGTCCTCCTCTGGTCTGCTGGCACACATACAGGCAGAATACTATATAAATAATAAATAAACCTTAAAAAAAAAAAAAAAGAATACCCCACCACAGCCTGGTTTATACTTATGTTTGTTTGTCTTTTTGAGACAGGGTTTTCCTGTGTAGCCTTAGCTGTCCTAGACTTGCTTTGTAGACCAGGCTGGCCTCAAACTCACAGCAATCCACCTGCCTCTGCCTCCAAGAATGCTGGGATTACAGTGTGCTACCATGCCCAGCAGTGGTTTTTTATTTTTTTGTTTTGTTTGTTTTTCAAGATAGGGTTTTTCTGTGTAACTCTGGCTGTCCTGGAACTTGCTCTGTAGATCATGCTGGCCTCGAATGCAGAGATCTGTCTGCTTTAAAAGGAACTTTTATTTGCCTTGTTCAGTTGTTGTCTCTGAGGCTTACTGCCTCCTTCTGCTAACCTAGGCCTAGTCCTCTCTCTCTCTCTCTCTGCACAAACTGTTTCTCTATAACTCTCCCAGTAAAACTGTCTCCTATCTCATTGCCCTTTAAGTAGCTTTCATTTTCTCTCTTTTCTTGTGAGAGTTGAACGAGTCCTATTCTGTCAAGTCTTTCTCTGTTTTATCACTGTTTTTGCCACTCAATTAAACATCACTTTTAAACATAGGTGCTTCCTTCTACAGTCTATCTTTACCTTCATTGGTTGGGATTAAAAGTCTTCAAAAAATAGTTTTGTAGGCTACTTGCCTCAGTTTAACCCTTGGCATTGCAAATAAAAAGTTAACAGCCTTGGTTAATAAATGGTGTTGATGGTGTCTCGATGGCAAGGTCCCAAAAATTGGTTATAGAGCCTGAGTTTTAGAAGATGTCACTTAGTCTCAGGTCACTGTTCTTCCTTTAATTATCCCATTAGCTTTGGGAAGATAAAGAAGGAAAAAAGAAGATGAATAAAAACAACGCTAAGGCTCTGAGTACCTTGCGCCAAAAGATCCGAAAATACAACCGAGATTTTGAAACACATATCACAAACTACAAGCAGGTGAGTCAGCTAGCGGCTAACTTTTCAAATTGGAAAAGTTTGATCCTGTGACAAAACTCAAGAGCATTGGTAAATGATAGCATGGCTAGAGAACGAGTGAACCATAACAAACTGTCTGGGTTTGAGAAGGAGGATTGTTTCTGTTGGCCATCCTTTTGTTCTGTGGTGGTGGTCGTGGTGGTTGAGTTCTGCAGGGCTCCCAGTGTAGACAAGGCTGTTTGTGAACTCACAGAAATCTGCCTGCTTCTACATCCTGAGTACTGGGATTAAAGACATGTGCCGCAATGCCTAGCTTTTGGTAGGCATCTTAATTCTCCTATTTTCCTTAATCCAGAACCCTGAGCAGTCTGCAGATGAAGATGCAGAGAAGAATGAGGAAGATTCAGAAGGTGAGAAAAGATACCTTTATTGACGATAAGCCCAAGGCCATGGGGTCTCATGATCTAGTTTCTGTTTTCAATTGTGCCCTTCAATGTTCTAGCTTTTTTCCCCTCCACTTCCTACCAGGCTCTTCAGATGAGGATGAGGATGAAGATGGAGTCAGTGCTGCAGCTTTCTTGAAGAAGAAACCAGAATCTTCTGGGGAGAGTCGAAAGTTCCACAAAAAGGTGGAAGTAAGATCCAGGGTTAGACTGGGGTTGATTTCCTCCCAGAGGATATTTAGGTCCTGGGAAGAAGAAATGTGGTCTTATAGAATCTTATGGTCCAGAGAATGAAAGTTAGTGGGATATGGCTTGGAAACAGGCTTCCTGTTGTATTGAGACAGTGAATGAGCTGGGATCTAACTGCCAGGCCCCACACTGTCCTGAGGAGCTGTGTGGTACTAACTTGGGTAATTTGTACTCTCCAGACTTGTCTGTTTCACCTAATATCCTGATTCTGTGAATAATTCTCTTGTCTTGTTAATGGAAATGCCTGGAATGTGTGTCAGTGGGAGGAGCAGAGAAGGTGTTTGTCTTCCTTCTGATCCTCTCTTCCCTCAAAGGATGATGATGAAGACTCTGAAGATTCTGAAGAAGATGAAGAATGGGATACCAGTTCCACATCTTCTGAGTCAGACTCTGAAGAAGAAGAAGGAAAACAAACTGTTCTGGCCTCAAAGTTTCTTAAAAAGTAAGGAAGTAATGGCTTTGGAGGATACAGTGGGAAGGTTTTAAAGTCTTTTTGAAAGGCTGTTGCTTTCTGCTTTCATGGATGG